CGTTGACTGACTACATTCGCGTTGCACACATTTAAATTGCCGAGAATCCTCGAAGTCCAACCGTTGAGAACCTCCGCCTTTCACCACCTGCACCGAATACTGCTGGTTGAGATTAGCATGGGCTGATCTGGGGAGGGACGGAGCGCGCTTGCCCGCCATCATTGCTGAATTTTGCGCTGGACTGGGGCGTTACTGGTTGGTCTGGCTGAGGCATGACACCACCAGCACTCGATAATGGGCTTGAATATGACCTAAACCACCATTAGGAAAACGTAGCTTTATCAGATATCCGTCAGATGCTAAGTGCTGTGTCAGATTCTTGTCCTCTCGGAACGCATGCGAAACTATCAACACGCGCGCGGGTGGCCAATTGAATGCGACGCGCCCAGATGGGGGTGGGAGTTGGGGTGGGTGAGGCAATTCAACGCATTGAGATCTCAAAAATTAAGGGAGCTAGACACACAGATTTCGCGGGTAGGTACCTCTGTACGTGAGATCTCCCTCGCGCTAATCTGCAAATATCTAGGTCATGATCTTTGGATCAAATGAGGTCAAAGAAGGTGAGGCTTCTTCTCATGCGACTGCCGCTGCCATAGATACCTGTTCTAAGGTATATTTCACTGGTGTTTTTTCAGGCCAATGACCTTATTTCACCCATAGAAGAAGGATGACCTGTTTGTTCTTTAGGAAGCCACGGTGGCCAAAGCCCCACGGCGTTATTTTAATGTCTGAATTGAGATAAGGGTAAACGATTAAGTTAATCAGAATATTCCCTAAAACAAAGGATTGATTGCTGTCGTTTTAGGTCAGTGACCGCTGACCTTTAAGAAGTCCGAACAAGATGTCTGCTGACGTCCCTGTGATCAATAAATTTAAAATAAGTATAAAAACTGACTCAGAAAGCAAGTTCTCAGAAAATAAGCCAATTGGTTTGACCTCGGTCTGTCCTTCATACCTGACCCAAGACCAATTTAACTAGTTGTAATCCTTATCTCAGTGAGCGAAATGTCTAAGAAATTATATCAGAGACATATAGCTTCGTCTAACACCCCGTTATCTCATGGTATTGAAATATTCCCCATGAATATTCGTAGTTGACAGCTATGGTCGGATTTTGACTTGCCGTGGGCCAGCGACTTTAAAAGTTACATCTTTTTATGCTAAATGATCAGCTATTCAGTTGCTTACAGCTGTGCGAAGTTTGGCAGGGCTACGCCACGCCGTTCGAAAATTATTTTGTAGAAAAATTCGAGAAGTCAAAATTACCCTCGATCCAAGCGCGTGTTAACAACCTCCGGTGAGCATTTTGTGGACTTCGGACCTTCCAGTACGGCCCTTGCTTGTCGTTCTCGAGTTGTCATGCCTAAGGGGAAAGCATGCTCTCTTGTCTCCTGCCTGCTTCCCTGCTGCTGCATGCTCTGTTTTTCCATTGATACTTCAGTGGTCTCACTGGCTCTCCAATAATTCCGTTGACTCCATTTCGACCCCGAAGAGGCTGAGAAATTGTTCTGGAAAAACCTTCGGAGGGGTCAAGTTGACCACCACCTGGGCGTGTGTTAGCTCCCGAAATGTTCCTCCCTCGAATGCTAATTGACAGAATGTTAGCAAATCCGAAACGTTGTGTCAAATTGCTGTTAATAGGATAAATGGGATGGGCGGCAAATTTTTCTCCCGAGCGCGTGTTAATTGCCATGGTGTTTTAGAAAGCGAATCTATTCGTCACGGGTGCCTTTGTTTTCAGGACCGTTCCTGGGCACAGGAGGCTCCGAAATCGCTACCGGTACGGCTTAGAGACGGAGCCTGCCGCAGCAGTAGCACGAATACCTGGCTCATCTAACGCGCAAGCGACGGTACGGGTTCACCAGACATACCGGAACTGCTCGCCCGGCTCTGGCGTACCAAGGCCGCGGGGAGGACGCGCAAAGGCGATGAGCAGGACGCGGACGCCGGAACTGCTTGGCTTCAGCGTGTTGAAGGATGCATTCCGTCGTCACCGCCGGCACCCAGTCCTCGTCGAACGGCGTCCATGCACGCCCCTGCTGTAATCGATCCCTGCGGCGAACAGCGGCGAACTGCGACAGAGACCAGAAGCGCCCGCATGCTGCGGAGTTCCGGGCGGCGTGGTGTTTGTATGAACGGTGTTGTTTGCAAATGGTAGGCTGATATGATAGCATTATGATAGAATGATAGCTTAATGTGTGGTGAGAGGAGGGCCTGAAGCGTGTGGCCGTTGGATGGAGCTGACGCCGGCTACATTCCACGGGCGAATTTTCACTGTGATGCGAGTAAGTGCCACCAAGGGCCGGATGACCGTGTTCGGTCGTCGGTCAGTGCTGAGAAGCATGGCACCAGTCATCGTGAGGTTTGCCGGCACCAGCAGCAAGAGTCACCGTTTGTGGGAGTCTCGCCCTTGCTGGGGAAGACCAGTGTTTTATAGCGAGGACGTCAACCTTGTTGTGATGCCGTATACGGGCGCGCTGCTGATGCTCAGACATTCAAAACACGCGCTGCCTTCATACACAATGAAAACGATTGTGACCTCGCCTGTTTTCTCCACGCGGAGGTACTGTTTGGCCACGTATGGCGCTCGCGGCGTCGCTGATCTGGCATGGCATGTCGTGCAGTTATATTGCATTGATTTTCCATCAGTCGCAGGGTTTTCCAGCTGCGTGTACACATGATGAAGCGCACAGGTGATAATCAGGACCTAACGAGACAATGCACCCGCTTAAGAAGGCCTGCGATCAGAATCGAGGCAAAGCAGAAGGAGCTTGCGTATAACAACGCCCTAGTATGTGCTTAACTACCTGACTACTTCATAAGAGAAATATCTTCGGGCGTCTCTCACCGTTTATTCATCCTCAAGAGGCGAGAGCGAACGTCCGGACCGCGTTTTGAGCTCTTGCGCAGGTGCCAAGCGCATGGGATGGGCATGACGGTTTTCATGGTTTCCAGAGGCTAGACATTAACGAAATGCCCCAGCGGCAAAATTAACACCGAAACATGGACCAAGAAAATCAACCATGAAGGGACGAGGCACCACACTCAATAGCTGCCACTCACGGCTGATATCGGGTGGCGAAACTCGCGAAGCGCGTCGGCTCACCCAGGAGAGACCAGCTCGAATCGGAGGCGCCGCACGACCGTCCAGCGCGTGGAGGTCACGACGGTCAAGGTCATGCCGGCCGAGACAACGACCCTCGTCCGCCCAACAGCTGATGCCAAGCGGTCGGGGGGACGGGGGTAGCGTCGGAAGGCGGAGCCGATGACACGGTGTTGCCGGACCCTGGAGCTCAACGATCGCTTATCCCTCGCCGGCGATTCCTCCTCACTCGTCATCATCCTCATCCATCGCTATTCATTCTCGTATGTCGACACTTACGTGGGACCACGTAGGATCACTTGCATTTCAGGAGTGGAGAAGGAAGCCGGCGAATACAAAAACGAAACGAAGTTATTTTACAGCTCCGATTTGTCTTCAGATATGATAGCGTTCCTGAATGAAAGGCACATGTGCAACATAGGGATTGACACTGGTGTGCAATGTTTAGAGCAGGTGTGTATCCGAGACCTTTGGCGGTCATGAAATATAATATCTAGTTTATACACGTCGTTCAGACTACCAGCGTACGGTTGACAGAGCAATGGGTTATTGCTAAAACTAAGTTGTGGTATGGTAAATTCATCGGCTAATGCTTGTTCGTCATCTTACGCTCTCCTGATGTGGTTTGATTCATTCCGTCGGGCTTCCGCCGCCCAAGGAAACGTCGAAATGCCGAGGGCCGGATCACGACCAGGTCCTGAAGCTGAAGCTGAAGCTGAAGGCTGAAGGACATGAAGCGCCAGTCACTGGTCATCCTCTGCCGCGCGGTGCCCACATGCGAGACCGTGACTGCTGAGAGGCGCTACTCGCGAGCCCAGCGAACTTTGGCGCTCAGAGGCACCGCGGATATCCTGGCAATGCGACCCACTGACTAACGCAATAGACTTCCGTGTTTGGTTAGTTCCTGAGACGGTTCAGTGCATGACCAACAATGACGCAGCCGACATGGGTTGCTGGAATTCTGCGGTCTGTATCCTTGCAGAATCCTCTGCGCGGGGTTTTGGCCGACCGGTAATAGGCGGACATGTCCGGGCTCGTGGCAGCCGAGGGTAAGACATCCTGCGCATTTTAAGCTTCTTCAGCTTGTTATGCAACCTTATTCCTTATTTGCCCATTGTTTCAACTCATCTGTACAGAACCGATGCGTTTGAGGTTTTTCCTAGCTAAAGCGGATGTTGACTGAAATTACGGTTTGGCGAACCATTACGTCGATGAGCTCATGAAGCCAAGTGACCTGGTAGCTGGCACCAACCCAGCGCCAAAATAACATCGGTTCATGCCTGAATCAGGTGCATCATGAACCATGACGCTGACAGCACCTAAGGCTGTCACCAGGCCGACAGTATCTGAGGCTGTCACGAGGCGAACAGTGCCTGAGACGGTCACCATGCTATGAGGCGGGCAGTGCCTGAGGCTGTCACCAGGCGGACGGCGCCTAAGGCTGTCACCAGACCGACAGTGTCTGAGGCTGTCACCAGGTGGACAGTGCCTAAGGCTGTCACCAGGCCGACAGCGCCTAAGGCTGTCACCAGGCGGACAGCGCCTGAGGATGTCACCAGGCGGACACTGCCTGAGGCTGTCACCAGGTGGACAGCGCCTCTGGCTGTCACCAGGTGGACAGCGCGAAGGCCAGGACGCAGATGGCTGCGGTGGACGCCGAGGTGGGGTGACTGCAACACTTCACCAGGATCAACCACCGGTGCAGCAGTGTCACACTTCAAACCCTGCACCAACTACCGGTTCGGGCAGGGAAGGTCAGGATGACCGACCAGTCCGCGATGTGCTGTGTGGCAAAACAGACGTGTCTCGTCAGACAGGCTTGCATTGCCTCACAGCGAAAGGAGATCAGGTATATAATGCCGCGTCCACCTTCAGGCGTCAGTCGAGCTCAGGTCACTCCCCCTCGCAAACATGAAGCGAGTAAGTGAGGGTGGTGATGGTATTTCGTTATGGAATGGAATGTCCTGGTTGGGTTTTACAGCCGGCGTGGCTTTGGCATCATGTATGTCATTGCTGTGGTCCAAGGAGATTCCCAGTCAGAATTTGCAATTGCAAGGCAAGCGAACCACATCATTTTTAAGTTAACTGCACTCAGTGCTTAATTTTGCACTAAAAAGGAAGTCACATGCCAACGATTCAAATGCCTCCAAGAAGAGATGGGTATCGTTTCCCATCATCTGACAGTGATTTTTGCATTTCAGTTTGCGTTGGTATTCCTGGTGGCAGCCGCGGCAGCAGCTCCTCAGTTCAAAGACTTTAACCAGGACTTCAACAGCCAACAGTTTATTAGCAGTGGTCAGCCTAAAGTCCGGATACTCAGTCAGAGGTTTGAACAGGACCAAAACGGGAACTACGAATACGGCTACGAGCAGGACAACGGACAGCGGGTAAGAACCTCGTCCACATGCGATAAGTTATTTTTTCAAACAGAAAAATACCCCATTGTGGGCTTACATCGTCGCATTTTATGTTTAACGACCGGGCGAATGAATTAATGCCAGCAATTTCGCACCCACCTTATACCTGTCGACATAGCGCAACTATACCTACGCTTTCAGGTGGAGGAGGTGGGTCGAGTGCAGCCGGGATCCCAGCCAGAGACCGGCAGCATCTCCCAGCAGGGCAGCTACGAGTTTGTCGGCGACGACGGCAACACCTACAAGGTCAGCTACGTGGCCGACGAGAACGGCTTCCAGCCTCAGGGCGCCCACCTGCCGCAGCCTCCAGCTCAGATCCCCGAGTACGAGCAGCTGAGGCGGGACTACCCGCAGCTGTTCTGGGCCGAGAACGGAGGAGCCGGCATCATTCTCAACAACCAACAGCAGTTCAACCAGCAGCAGTTTAACCAGCAACAGTTTGACCAGCAGCAATTTAACCAGCAGCAGTTTGATCAGCAGCAGTTTGATCAGCAGCAGTTTGATCAGCAGCAGTTTGATCAGCAGCAGTTTGACCAACAGCAGTTTAACCAGCAGCAGTTCGACCAGCAGCAGTTCGACCAGCAGCAGTTCGACCAGCCGCGGTTTGTCTAGCAGCACTTTGATGACCAGCAGTTCCAGCAGTTGGATGGTCAGGGGTTTGACCAGCCACAGTTCGATGGGCAGCATCAGTTGAGTGACCAGCAGGTCACACTTCCGGTGCTGAGCAGCCAAGTAGGACAGCTCTTCATATGAGTATCAGTGCGACATAAGATACTAAGAACTGTCATGTTTGTGATATCATTTAGTCCCGCGAGCGTCGGTCTCCTGCATGGGCCGTCGATCTCCTGCATGGGCCGTCGGTCTCCTGCATGGGCCGTCGATCTCAGCGCAAGAGGAAGACGCCTCCTCTCGCTTCGAATCAAGCGTGCCGTCCGCTTCGAACGCCACCCACCAATCCTGACTTATGAAAATACTGCGCACGGTTCCAGAGCGGCCTGAATAATGTGCTTCACAGCCCATGCTCTGCCCAGATTTCCGTCTTTTGTGAACGTGCGTATGTACTGCACCTGAGTGATGTTGCGGTCGTTGTAGCGGGTCGGTGTTCAAATACATCTTCACGCGTTTAGTCCTGAATCATCGGGAACGCTGGCGGCCCTCGCGATATATACGAGCATGCCGAATTACCGCCTACCGCGATTACTTTTCACGTCTATTTTCGCCGATGCAAAGGCAGCAGGCTGTACAGCGGAAGTGACGCGAAGATCGCCTGCGAATGGGCATAAGTCTACCATCGCCGGGTTTATATTCTCCCGCTCTCGACAACTCGTGTCGGCTTGCGTCGCCTAAATTTGAGCTACATACCACTTAAATTACCACAAAGCTCATGAAAAAGGAAATAAGTTTGCGCCACGTGCCACACACACCATATTTCTGTGACACTGCTCAATTACCACAAAACCTCTTGAAAAAGGAAATCAATTTGCGCCACGCACCACATTCACCATATTTCTGTGGCACTACCTACGGACTTGGCACACAGTGGTCAGGTCCTCCATACGTTTGAGCAACGAAAGCTAAGGTTTACAACAGATCATTGGATTTGACGTCATTTCCGAGGCCCTGCCAATCTAAGGAGCATTAAATATGGCCAGCGCTGTACCGCTGTTTCCCGTCATGCCCCGTGACTATATCACGACTCGTCGCCCCACCGCTGCTGCCACGGTTATATCGCCAGTCGCACCAACTTCACAGCGGGCCTCCACGCCGCTCACGTCATGGCTGAACTCGGTCTCAACAAAAACAGCAAGCCAAAGCAATGGAATGACAATGCGCCGGAGCGAATGTGACTGCGACCAAAACTGGTCCCTTGCCGCACGCGGCCCCTCTTGAATGAACTCTTCCGTCACATTCGGTTCATCGTCGAGAGCGTGATGAATGCACTCTAGCTGCCACATCATCTTCAAAATGGCGCCAAATGAAATGGCGCGCCGAACTTGCTAGTTGCCATGTATTGTCATATGGCCAGTTCACACTGGCATCCAAGACGCCGGGCCGACCGCTTGGCACTTGACATGCAATTGCCACAAAGCACCGCGATGAGGCACTTGCCGCGATGCGGCACGTCACGTGGTTAGATGCCAAGCACTCAACCTCTCGGCATGGAGGTGAGTTACTGTAATACCGCTTGTCGCGCCGAATCATTTGACTTCACTTTCATCCTGCTCAAATGCGGTGACACGTGAGCTGACCTAACCCTCCAGAGCGATTTGCCAGCATATGACAAAGTACCAATTACTTGAATTGAAACCATATGAATACATCAACAAATAGAACAAATCTGAGCGAATTGGAGGCGCAGATCCACTGGCTTCCACCGCCAGCTTCAGCTTATCAGCGCCGATGTGTTTTGGTCTCTCGAAGTGTGTTTCAACAAATGTAATGTAATGTAGCACGGTCTTTCATCCTCTCCGGGATTCGGCGGTCTCTGGCACTGATGGTGTCACACAGGATGACATCTGGTTTAGACAGTGGGCAGAACAATTTGCCAGGAAATTTAAGATGCAAGTAAAAAGGGAGTAGCAAAATGACAATACTGTTCGTCGTTGAAAAATCGAGTGTTTCTTTCGTAACGCTTTCCCCAAGTCGTCCAGCTGCCGTAAAGAAAACATCCAGTTCTCTTGATCAAAAACCATATGCAACGTGATGACACTGGGAACATTACGAAATAAACATGAGGTGGTGTTTTACAACATTTTGCTCGATGGAAAAGCCATGCAATAGAGCGCCTAGTCACAAAACGCGACCGACGTGGCCTCGACAAAACTATTGTAACAATTGTGACCCACGACAGATAGTGCCCCTAAATTTTCCGTCTAACGTGTAATGCATGTACGGTCACATGCCATGCATTCTACGCATGCATGTTTAAACCTCACCCTATGTGTGTTTCACCTTCGCCCTATCGTGGGGTCTCTAAGACATCGAGAACTAAGCACGCTAAAGCCACGCTGGGAGCAGCATTGAAAAGCTTTCGTTAAGTTGCAGTTGTGCCAGAGCAGTGTGTGCAAATAGCGCTGAATAAGACTTTGACAGGGAGGTCAAACAGGGTCAAATGGTCGAATTAAGGACTGTATAGATCGTTCCCATCATCTTAAATTTTATGCATGCTTCGACAATGAAAAAGACGGTGTTGAATAGCTCATGGAGAGCTCCATCACATAGGTACTAGTGGACAGACACGTGTGACCTATGATGTGTCATCACGGGTCAAATGGATGACGGCAATAGTTTATTCATTGGTCCGATCGGTCACATAAAAAGCTAAATGAGCCTTGTCGAAAGAGATGGCATGGTTTGAAAGACCTTATAAAACCATAGCGTATGTGCCATTAAGGTTCAAACATATAGGCTTCAAACGGTCAAATGTGGTCACAAAGGTCAAGGGCTAACCTAGATTGACTAGGATGACCTGGCTTGACAAAATCACCAAAAACAATAGCAATGTACCTGAGGGATAGGGATATGCAGATGAATCTAGATCATCTCTTTGAAGCGCAATTCCTCCAACAAATAAGCGTTATTTTTCTCTTCTAAGCAGACTTTTACTGATATGACCTCTAGTAAGATGTCACAGATGCTTACCTGTGGAGGTCAGAAACTTTAAGCTTTACGCTGGTAAAATGGTGCAAACTCAGCTATTCAGAAATTCAGTAACGGGTCAAAACCACTCAGAAGTTATTCCTGAATAACATTCGGAAGGCCTCTGAGATTCCCTCATTCGGGCAAGTGGTATAGGAATTCCTGCACGCCTCGGTTATTCGAGGCTTCGCACCCTCAAAGTAAACAACATTGTTCAAACTACAAGTCCCAGCGTCGTTGGCCATGCACTTACGGAGGGGCACCGAACACATGCGTGCACTCACAACACCACACTCATCAGAAACTAACTCGTTGTTCATGGGCACCAGCAAAATAACGCGTACCACAGACCATAGACACCTAACCACGCTTGAAACATTGTGCGTCAGAGATATGGTACCCACTATCAACAACAAACAGCTCACGCAATTAGTACTGTGCGACATGCGATTAGTAAGAGAAACCCCGAACGGTAAAACGAAGCCACTGAACCTGCAACCATTCATATTAATATGGTTAAAATGTGCAATTTTTTAGTCGTACGGGAAGTGCGTCCCGAACTAGACCATGCCGCATGTATCTGCTACTCCTCTCAAATGCCTCAAGCATGTGTTTCGTAGAAAAACTATGGAAACCAAATTGTTATACGTTTGGTGTGTGCCTGCATGTTTGTAGTGTAATAATCGACTTGAAAATGATCATCGAAGTGATCGAAACGTTGGAAATGGAATGCTTTGGCAAAATTCCATATCGCCACACCAAAAATGACAACTTTATATGAAGCTTAGGGTCAACTACCAAAACGGTCACAAATGCTGATTTGCTGTGACGTGAACATGCATACGAGAAAACATGCTCCTAAATATTCCAAGGTAAATGAATATACACACACACACACACACACACACACACACACACACACACACACACACACACACACACACACACACACACACACACACACACACACACACACACACACACACACACACACACATATATATATATATATATATATATATATATATATATATATATATATATATATATATATATATATATATATGGGTACAAGTGTTGGGTATATGTTTAGCATGGTATGTAAGTCATGGCGTGTTATCAGGTCATTTCTCAGGTACCCAGACGCAGGTCATCAGCAGCATGTTTCATAAGAAACCTCAGAGGGCTACGGAAGTCTCCTCGACTGATAGACGGAATCGACTTTTTTGTTCCTCTCCATTCCAAATCGACTTAAAACCATGACGGCCTTTCCCATTTGTTCTTACCACCTAAAATAATATCTAATTAAACGCTGCGCTCACTGACCCACCTCTACGAATTAATATTTACATTGCCTTCACTTCACTACGTACATGTTCTAACCGCATAAAATTCAGGCCCCTCACCTCAGCGCGGCGCCTCTGAAACTCTGCCCCAGTCTGCGCTGTGTCTGCGTATGGAGGCCTCTGCGAAGGTCAGGGGCGGTGTGACCGGAAACTCCGGACAGTTTTTACGACATTCGCCTGCAGTGGTAAACAAAGGGACGAGTATAATCAATCAGCGGAGGCCTCAGCGGTCCCAGAATCCTGTCCATTTGGTCATCGTTGCTGACCTCGGCCGCCTCTTGATCGGCTGGGGCAAAAGCTGAATGGGGGTCGCTGAGGGCCCTTTAAACGCACGGACTGAACGTTGAGAATCTTCATCGCAGACTTCCTTGATGTGAGGAAGCATCGTGATGGTAAACCTGAAAGTGACTGGGCCCATATTCGATAAAAGATATAATTTTAAATCCATCACAAATAGACACTTTAATCCCCAGGGCGAAACGAGACGGGGCGGGGCGGGGCAGGCCGAGACAGGGCGGGCGGGGCGAGCGGGGCGAGGCGGAGCGAAACGGGGTGGGGCGAGGCGGAGCGGGGTACGGCAGAGGAAATGACCTGACGTCTCCGAGGACAGCATAAGGAACAGGAATA